ATTGGTTTCCCATTCAACAATCCATGCACATTCTGTTTTGTGACATTTACTGTCTCACTGTGGTTTTGATTTGCATTTCCCTGATGACTAATGATGTTCAACATCTTTTCATGGGTTCATTGGCCATTTGCATATCTTTGGGGAAATGTCTGTTCAGGTCCTTTATTCATTAAAATTTTTTTAAAAAATCTTTATTATTGAGTTGTACTGACTCAGACTCACTGCCGTGGAGTCAGTCCTTCCAAGGAATGACTGGTGGGTTTGAACCGCCAGCCTTCTGGTTAGAAGTCAGATGGTGAAGGCACTATGCAACCAGAGCCCCTATTGAGTTGTAATAGCTCATTCGAGATATAAATGTCTTATCATGTATATGACTTTCCAAATTGTTCTCACATTCTGTCGGTTGTCTTTTCACCTTCTTGATAGTGTACTTTGAAGCACAAAGTTTTGAATTTGGATGATACCCAGTTTATCTATTTTTTCTTTTTTTGCTTTGTGTTTTTGGTGTCATATTTAAGAAACCATTTTCTAATTTAAGGTCATGAAGATTTACCCCTGTGTTGTCTTTGAAAATTTTTAACATATTAGCTCTTAATATCTGGATCTGTGGTCCATTTTGAGTTAATTTGTATATATGTTGTGAGGTAGGGGTCCAACTTAGTTCCTTTACTTGTAGAGATTCCGTTGTACAGTACCATTTGTTGAAGAGACTCTTTCCCTATTGAATATCTTGGTTTCTGGTTGAAAATCAGTTGACCATAGATCTGTGGATTGTTTCTGGAGTCTGTTCTATTCCCTTGATCGGTATACCTGACTCCTTCCCTTGCTTACCTGCTGGGGAACTTAGAGCTCAGTCTGAGGCCTGTTGGCAGGTATCCAGGAACCACGGGGTCTGAGTGGGTAAACTCACCTCATCTGTTGTTTCCCCTTAATTCTCTCTCCTGGGTTTCTTTTTGTTCTGTGTGTTTTGTGTGCATTATTATAAGCTGCCTCGAATTCCTTTTATAATGAAATGTGGGACATTAATACAAACATTATCCCTGTACTTCACATGTTTTATTAATCAGTTCCAACTGAAGCTTGACTAATTAATACATTTCACTTCCTTCAGCTGAAAAATACATATTCTCAGTTAAATATCTTAAATGTTTGCCCTGTCAAGTTACTACAATCAGCTAATGCTGCTGCCTTTTTATTTATTTACTTTTAATTGGAATTCAGATAATTTCTGAGATTAGTACCTACTTCAGTGCTTAGCCCTATTTCTGTCATTAATAATTTATTTTCATCTTCCCCTGCAACTTAAATGATTCTGTTTTATACACTGAAAAGCATCCTGGATCTATTTGACACTGTGTTCAGAGAACTGTAAATGTTTATACCTATTTATTCAGTCATCCCGTTTTCAGATATCTAGCCTAAGAAATGTAGGAAAGTGCATGTTTGACAAGATGTTCACTATATGTAATTTATAATTGTGAAAAATTAAAAATAACCTATGTGTTTTGGAGTAGGGAATAGATAAACTAGAAGGAAAAAAACAACTAGTGTCATCATGTTGATCCTAACTCATAGTGACCCCTATTGGATTTTCAAGGCTGTAAATATTTATAGACGCAGATTGCCTCATCTTCATTCCGTGAAGCAGCTGGTGGGTTCAAACCACCAACCTTTTGGTTAGCAGCCAAATGCCTTAACCACTACACCACCAGAGCTCCTTGAGGAATAGATAACCTAACTATATTATAGCCACTAGATGGAATCCTATGTATCCTTTTATAAATAATGCTAATAGGGATGATTTAGCAACTTAAAAATTAATGTAATAGAATGACAAGTAAAAAAAGTGCTATATAAAATAGGCATTTCAAAAAGATTGTAAGGAAATCATAGAGGATGACTTTTCTTTTTTCTTCATATGGTGGGGGAGTGCCTGCTTTTTATTCCTATTTAAATTTTATCATTCTTTTGTATCTTAATTTAAAAGCCTAGAATCATTACAGTTTGTAATTGTCATATGAATACTCTCTTCCTTTCAGATGTGAGTCTGGCTACACTGGGCAGCACTGTGAGAAGACAGACTTCAGTATTCTGTACGTAGTACCGAGTAGACAGAAGCTTACTCATGTGCTCATCGCAGCCATTATTGGAGCTGTGCAGATCGCCGTCATAGTAGCAATCGTCATGTGTATCACAAGGTAGGTGATGCCGTAAGAAGCACCAGCTTCGAATCGCAGCTGGGTAGCCGTTAAGCATGCTCACAGTTAAAGAGGCCTGGAGAGTTCACCCACCTGTGGAGGAGAATAGCAGGAAGAGGCTTTTTTGGGCTCTGACGTCTCCCTGTCGTTCTTTAGAATACAGGCAAGAACTCATCTCCAGGGCTGCAGCTGTCTGTGGGCTGCGAGCAGGAGCGTGAAAAGAGGCAGGGGCATAAAGGCATTTAGGGGGCCGTACAACTGGGTACCAGAGCTCAAAGGAGCACTGCTCAGGGACAGTAGGAGCAGAATTTCTAGAACAGTCTGTCCCTGCATGTAATGGCCATGCAGAATCTTGTTTTAAGCCCAGTGAAACGGCAGGGTGTTTTATGCCCTAAGAACATACTCTATCTATAATAAATAAAATAAGAAAGGAATAAATTAGAAGTCAAATAAAAATAATTTTCATGTTATATTATTAATATTCACATTTTTAATCACAAAGATAGGTAATAAGTTTTAAAATGCTATCATAAATAAATCCTTTCATCATAAGGAAAGGACTTACTTGGAATACAGTTGGCATAAAATGAGTATATTCCAAGGTGAGTGAAAATAGGTAAGTCAGAACAGAACTGAATGTGAGAGAAGTCAGAGCAGAGCCTGTGACTGAGCCCAAGTCCATTTGCTCTTCAGTTGCATGTCTCTTCTTTCTTATCTCTCCAGGCCTCTCTTAGGGTTTGGTCCAGAAATCTCAAAAATCATCTCTGTACTCTCTCTCTGATTCTCGGTAGAGGAGTGGAGCATGTCAAATACAGGTATTGGCACTGCCACTGAGTCAGTTCAGACTCATAGCAACACCTTCTTGGGTTTTCAAGGCAGTATCTCTGTGGAAGTAGATGACCCCAGTCTTCCTTCCGAGGAGTAGCTGGTAGGTTATCCTTCTGTTCAGCAGGCAAATACCTTAGGCACTATGCCACCAGAGCTCCTATTTCATGAAACAGATGATGTGCCCTCGGACAAGAATGCTGATGCAAAACTGTGCAGGAGACTAAAAGTAGGGGGCAGTGACATGAAAAATAACATCAGAAGTAAGGAAAGACAGGAGGAAGCTACACAATCTATAACAGCAGGACTGTCTGTGGCCACTTCTTACAGGCTCAAAGATTAAGTAGGTTACCTGTGGTCATCCAGCTGGGAGCTAGAAGGACTTGGATTTGCATTCACTGCCGGCTCTTTCCCACCAGGCGGTCAGGAGTGGTGTTCATGTCGTGGCATCTTGCGAAATACATTTACAAAATAGGACCATAACATGGAAGCAGGGTTTGACCTTGATTTTGTAGCAGTTAAGAATTTTTGAGCAGAGGAAGGGACTTGGTGAAAACCATTTTTTGAGATCTTTATTCTGAGAGTCAGATACAAAATACATCAGAGTAGGGAAGGTATGAGGCAGGGAGACCTTGGGACATTGTTAGAGTAAAGCAAGAGGCGGGTAGTAAGGGACTTGAGTGGTGAGAGAAATAGGTAAGGTCAGGAAAAATCTCAAGGCCTGCTGCTAGTTGTTGGCATCTTCAGGAGGATCAAAAGATGTTGGGTCCAATGGGAAGCAACCTCGTGTTGACCTCTGTTCATTCTGGAGAAGACACTGAAACTCTGAGAGAGGAAGTAGCTTGTCAAGGTCCTAGAGCTGGCTCCACCCTCCTGCAGCTCCTAATCCAGCTTTTGGTTCAACTCTCTGCTTTTGTTCCCAGTGTGCAGTAATCCTCAACTACTAACTTAAGACTACCTGGCAGGTAGTTTTCAAAATGCCACCTTTGCTGTCTTCGCATACGCAGGCATCACAGTGTATTTTCAACTGTGTCGCAGTGTCTTTAGTGTCTACCAACTCCGTGACTGATGGGTCCTCTTCAGATTTGTCACAGATTTCTCCGCGAGGCTTGTCCTTTTATTGTGGTATTTTTTCGACAAGGCTGTCCTGCTATCTTGGATCAAGAGTATTATAATTATGTAGTTGGACTCATCTCCATGAATTTTCCAGGAGAGCTGCTCCTACATATTGCATTATGGGACAGCTGTTCACTTACCCCATGGTGGCTATTACATACTTCCATTGACTTGCATATCAAGTCTACGTGAGTCATTTTTTCTGCTTGGAATTTCTTTCATGAGTGAAGGCACATAGAAATGGTAAATTAGAAAGGACCTCAGATACTTTAGCCAAACTCCCCTTATTTTATAGATGAAAAACCCATGGTCCTAGGAAGTCGGGACTTTTCCAAGGTCATGGTGAGCTAATGATAGTTAAAGAGAATTGCTTAACCTCTCATCCACTTTGCTTTTATGAAATGGAGAGATTTCAGCCCAGTCTATTTCAAACTCTTTTTGTGTGGATTAGTGAGAAGAATTACTGAACAATATACATCATGGAAATACCATCATTATCAAAGCTTTTAAGTCCTGGCAAGTCAGTACTTTTTGAACTTGAATAAAAACATGGAACTTTAAAATATTGATACTCATTGTTATAAAGACTTTCTTTCCGTTTGATTATGAATTCCTTGCTGGCAGTGATTTTAGAAGTCACTTCAGCCCCTAATTTAATATTTTGTGTCGAGGGGAATTGAGGTTGCACAGCTTGTTAATAGCAGAGCCCACACTCAAACCCAAGATGTAGTGTTCACCCCTCTCTTCACTCTACATTGAGCAGCACAGCAGAATACAATGAGATTGATGCCACATGGAGAAGCATTTGCAGGAAAGTTACAGCGAGTCTGAGACTGCCCCTTACCCCAGCAGGACTGTCGTTGTGTTCTGTGGATTGCCCGAATGGGCTGTGCAACGACTGCTTTTCATTCTCTGAGTCACTGTCTGAAATCACCGGCACTTCCTCTTTATGAGTCTCTGAGGTGGATAAGACACTTGGTTCTGATCTCCCCCTTCATCTAAGCCAGCTTTGCCATTTGGGGAGTGCTCATGGGGTCTCATTGGCTCAGCACTTGGCTGCTAACTGAGAGGTTGGGCACACCGAGCCTCTGTAGGAGAAAGACCTGGTGACCTGCTTCCATAAGATTACAGCCACGGAGACCCTGTGGGGCAGTTGTGCTCTGTCACTTGGGGTCACTGCGAGCTGGCTCTGGCTCACGGCGACCTCATCCCCCGTGTGGGATAGAACTGTGCTTCACGGCGTTTTCAGTGGCTGCTGTTTTGGCAGTCCATCACCAGGCCTGTCTTCCCCTGAGTGGACTCAAACCCCCAACCTTTTGGTCATTGAGTATTTTCACCATTTGCATGTCCGAGGACTACATGGTTGTTGTGACGCTCAGGGAAGGTACATAGGTCAAGGTCCTTTCCCCTGCCACAGCTTCCTGTGGGATCAGTCAGTGCAGAGGAGAGGCTTCCCCACCAGAGCAGGGATGGGAGATGCCGGGGATGCCCGGGCGTGAGCTCAGCTTGTGTCTGTGCCTGCACCCTGTGACTGGTCCTCTCCCACCCCCCCCGCCTTGTAGGGGGGCTGGCAGCAGGCATTGCACTGCCCCTCCCTGTTCCCGTTCATATGACCGCGTGCAGTATGGCTTTGCGTGTAAAACGTGCATTACTGTGGAAACATTGACATATCCTAAATGAACTAATATTTTTCCTTTTTTTTTTAAATGAAACAGAAAATGCCCTAAAAACAACAGAGGACGTCGACAGAAGCAGAACCTAGGTCATTTTACTTCAGATACGTCATCCAGGATGGTTTAAACTGACGACTTTTATACGTACATTGACCACGCGATGTACATTTATTATGTCTTTTTTTAAAGAATGGAAATATTTATTTCAGAGGCCTTATTTTTGGACATTTTTCGTGTAGTGCCGTTGGCTCGCATTAGAAACCCTCAGCTACAGCAGTTTCGGACTGTTCAGTAGTCTTTGCTTTATGGTTTTAAATACAGAAGTTGATTTCATGAATTTGTACCACACGGTAACCCTAAGACTTGTTCTTTACCCACGGAATGTAATATTTTTGCAAAGATGGACCCCTTCACAAAGGTTCTAAAGTTACACTCCTGCCCCCACACTGACCACAGCAATGACAAAGCATGAACTAAAGGTAAAGATGTTTACAGATTACTTTTCTTACAAAAAGAAAAATTTAGAAGACACTGTGTTTAAATAGACCTTTAAATGTTTTTGAGATTTAGTAACTGATTTTTTTAGACATTGCCTATTGCATGAACTGTAAACCTGTGTGTGTTAGATGTAAACTATTTATGAGATGTATAGACTGGAATTTGACTATTCCTCTCTTTGAAGAAAACAATTCTAACAATTGGGAAAAGTATCGGACGGTATGATGGAACAGATTGCTGAGAAGTAGATTTAGGTATTGTGAAACTAGGCTGTTTAAGATTGGAATAAAGCCTACTCTATCAGTTAAACCACTTTGGTATGCATTCATTTTTAAAGCAAATACTTGTTTGAACATAAGTAAGCAAATTGTATCTGTGTGTGTGAATAAAAAACAGGAATGATTGTTAAAGGTGCTCTTAAAGTGAGCTCAAAAAATGACCTGAGACCTCTATCCAAATTGTCCTGTAGTTATAGCTCTATCAATAGATCATTTGTTTCAGCATCTGAAGTGTGAATAGAATGTATTCAGCTGTTTAATGTAGCTTAGATATTCAGAAGTATGCATGTAGAATTGAAGACTATGTTCAGAATTAAATATTAAATATTTGATTTGAAAAAGCATGGTATAATAGAGTGTTTTCACTGTATGGCCTCTGTTTTAGTGTGTTTATTTACTGCATTCTCTGATCCTGCTCCATCAGTACATGAATAAGGCAGATTAATAGAAAAAGCTGATTTTAGTTTAAAATGTCCCTTCCTTTTACAAATACTGCTTGAAAATATCTAAGGTAGAAACTTTTTCCCAAGAGTTGAGGTTGTCTGTTTTGATTAGTTGGTTTCTAGGCTTAATATTAGTAACATGGTGGCTTTAATGAAGGTTTTAAAGAAGCGTTCCCCTTCCTCTTTGAGCCCCTTAGTCAGGCAGCAGGCATGCTTGGAACAGCATCCGGTGCTGTGCAAGGGCTCATGTTGCAGAACAGGCGTGGATGGGTATTTGTAGTTATAAATACTTGACCAGTCTCCAGGGGTGGGGTTTCTAACCCTTTAAACAACCCTGTTGCCTGTTCCCAGGCAAACGCTTTGCTTTAAGTGCCAGAATTGATTGTGGCAGGGCATCTTTCACTGGGCAATAAACAACATGGAGCACAATGGGTCTGCTTCCAGTGCCGATGGAATCCACCAGAACCGCTTATCAGGTGTTAGGGAAGAGGAGGACCAAGACGCAGCCCTCACCATTGTGACCGTGCTGGACAAAGTAGCCTGCATCGTGGACAGTGTGCAGGCGAGCCAGAAGAGAATCGAGGAGCGACACAGGGAGATGGAAAACGCGATGAAGTCCGTCCAGATCGACCTGTTGAAGCTCTCGCAGGCCCACAGCAACACAGGCTACATCGTTAACAAGTTGTTTGAGAAAACCCGAAAAGTCAGCGCTCACATTAAAGACGTGAAGGCCCGTGTGGAGAAGCAGCAGGTGCATGTCACAAAAGTCGAATCCAAGCAAGAGGAAATAATGAAGAAAAATAAATTCCGTGTCGTCATATTCCAGGTAAGCTTGACCTTGTCTTCAGCTGGATTCCTGTTTAATTCCTGTTTAATTGCCAGCGTCACCTTTTAACTGTTATGTGTGCTGATGGAATGGCCTTCTCAGCTGGGATCTCAGGATGTAACCGTTTTTGGGTTGACAATGTACTCTCAGTGTTTTGACCTGCTCAACCATTTTGTGTAATGTGAACTGTGGATCACAGCTTAGGCTATTTCTTGCCTTTGAAACTTAATATTGGTAAAGCTTTATGGCTTAGTAGCTGGGCATGATACCCTCTCATAGTTTAACTTCTAGTTAACCCTAGTTGAGCTTCTTTGTTCCACAGAAGAACAAACCAAGGACCAGATAGCCCACAATACAGAGTTTTGTCTCCTTTTTATGGAGAGCCTGGAAAACCCTAAACAGTACAGTGTAAACTCTTCCTAACATAGTTTGCCTTTTGGAGTTTTTGACATATAAATCCCAATGACAAAAGCTTTCTGTTCTCTTAAACAATCAAGCTGTTTTTCTTATTTCCATTGTAGTAATATAAATGTGTTACAGAAATAACTCCTTATATTTGATTACAAAGCCTTCCTGATTGAATAGAATCATTTTGACATGGCATGGTGCATTAAACTAAGTTCCTGCACCTGACACTCATATTTTTGGAAATAGGAACATATCCATGACAAAATGTATAGTATCTATAATGTAATTTTTGAAACTTACACAAATCAAAAAGGAAAAACTGAACTCTCCTTCCATCGCAGGAAAATAAGTAAGTCATTACCAGGAAGTTCACAAAAGACAAGTAGGAACAGAATTCCACTTTCACCTATTTAAATATTGGCAGGTACTTTCTATAATAGTTTAAGGGAGTAGAGCACTAAGCTTTCTCACATTCTGCTGGTGAGAGTGTTAATTGGTACAGTATTTCTGGATGGCACTTTCTATAGTATGTATTAAGAACTAAAAATTCACAAACGTTTTGACCCAGCCATTTCATGTCAAAGAAATTATTCTAAGCAGAAAATTAGAAAGGCATTCACAGATGCAAATATACAGTGTTCTTACAACTGTATTTTTAAATGGGTATTTATGTGCGTAGGAAAAAACTTCAAGAATTATTAATACAGAATGAGATGGGAGTGTAGTTGGATTGTGTGTTAGGCAGTTCACCCAGCCGTCTGTTGACTGATAAAGTTCCATTGGGCTGGGCAGGGTGATCTGTTTTTAGGAACCTGGTGGTTATTTAGGAAGAAGAATCGGGAGGGAGGGGGAGAAGGGCTGTTTGTTTCAGACAGAGACTTGTTGTACGATGCCATTTGAAACCCTCGGGCATTACCCATTCCTGCCAGGTTCCTGGAGGCCCTTCTCCACGCTTAGAAACTTGAAACAAAACCAGTCACCTTGCTCTCAGGCCAGTCCCACTGTGGGTACACATAATTTGGTTTTGGAGCACATAATACCCACTTTTCAGTTTGCCTTCCAAGGGCATTGCCAGTAGTGGGCATATCTTACCCTCCACCTGCGTGGGGCATGTGAGGAAACATCCCTGGTACCCGTCTCTCCTTCTGAGAACCTTGGCACAAAACAGTGGACCAGGTGCCAATCAAGATTTACAAAGGCTAAAGAAATGTCTTAAAAGCTCTAATTGCCTCTTCTTGTCCATTGTAACTCTTTTTTAAGTTAAGAGGCTTCAGTATTTGCCTAATCCCTTCACTTACTGCTGTATTTTCCTTTTTTGGTGACCCTATATTTACTTGAGCAAATGGAAGAAACTGTAGGTCAAGATCTCTCATAGTGCGGTGAGGATTTGGTGAAATCACGTTGTCCAGAATAAACAGCAGTGTTTCAAAAAGCGATTGCTGCCTTCTAATTGGAGATCTCATAAAGAGAAGAGAAATGCAAGGAACGGTGGTCGCAGAACATAGATTCAGTGACTCGGTGGGTGTTAGAATGCTGTCTGAATATTCCCATGGTTATTCTTAGTTAACACAGTTCTTATAATTAATTCTTACAGCTAATATGTATCAGTGGTGATCCTGAGATTGCCTCTGAGACTAAAATTAACTTGAAACCGAGCAAAACAGCTACACTTCCATTTCAGTTTGGGTTTTTCTGCCAGAAATCTCCCCTGGGGATATGTTATGGTGGTAATCCTTTTCACTACTATATCTCCTACGATTGTATATGGCCAGGCTTTTACCGGTTCTCAACACAGGCATTTAAAAATCAACTTTGTGCTGTATTTTATGCAATCATGGCTTCTCTTTGAATGTACTTCCCCCTCGATGACGCCTCTTGTCATGCGAGCCAGGAGGGTACTGTAGGCTTCACCGATTTTGATGATTTGCCATAGGTCATTCCCTAGGAAGTCCCTGACATCTAGATACTCAGGATTCCCCTGTTTTACGTGGGTGTTCAGTCAAGACCACTTTACTGTGATCCCTGATGCTCATTACAGAAATCATCTTTTACTTGTGCTTTTATATATAATGATACATAATGATTGTATTTGGAAGTCAGCTATAATTAAACCTTGTAATCAATTATTTTTAGGGTGTTTTCACTATTAACTCACGGTGTCTCTGGCTCATAGGAGTTGTAACAAATAGATCCAGACCAGTACTTTTCTGACTATCTCTGTTTTTATTTGGAATGCTGATTTACTTCTCTGTGGTAGGTATACTCAATAAACGTTTGTCGGATAAGGTAAGACGCTTGCTTCGTCCAACAAATAGCTATTCCTAAGCATGCACCATGCATCAGTCTGCACTCCGGAAACTGAGAACCTTCTGTGAAAAATTTCTAAGTTGGTATTATTTATTGTACCATTGAAGAGTGATGTGTGATTGTGGAGTTGCGCTCTGTCAGCATTCTTCATGGCGGGGTTGTGAGGACTTTTCCCTACCAAGCAGTAATTATCCTTTGACTCCTCCCTTTTCTAATTATACCTCCCCAGGGCCGGCACCGAGTTTCTGAAACTGCTCCCTGTGGCAGGTGTCAGGAAAAGAGAGGCATAATTTCTGCTTCTAACTGATTCATCAGAGTTAGGAGACACCCACCCCTGCTTTGTTTAGCTCTAGCCTCTTCACTCCTGTAGCCAAAGAATTTAAACTAATTTAAAAACAAGTATTCAAAGGTTCAGGGAGCTCTCTGGTGGCGTAGTGGGTCAGGCATTTGGCTGCTAACCAAAGGTCAGTGGTTTAAACCCACCAGCTGCTCTGCGGAAGGAAGATGGAGCAGTCAGTTTCCATAAAGATTTACAGCCTTGGAAACCCAGTGGGGGACCCTGTGAGTCAAAACTGACTCCATGGCAGTGAGTTAGGTTTTGTTTTTATTCGAAGGTACCAGGAATACCATCTTGAGTATCAGGCTGATAGATTTTGGAATATGTGTAAATGTGTTTGTGATTGGATTTTATTTTTTGATTGAATCCGTATAAGGGGGTTCTCAGGTAGGAGCACAGTTCTTTCAGAAATTCTAACTCATGATTTAGTTAAAAGTCTCATAATCTCTAGTTTGTTCTTGTAGTTTTAGAAATCATCACTCAATGGTGAATCGGGTTCATTTAGCACCTGAGGCCTGGGCTAGCTCTCAAAGTCACCAGTGTGTGGCATGTTCCCAAATGCACTTCTCATCACTTTGATACATTTGACATAGTTGGTTCCTCTCTCTTCCTTGAAACTACTTTCCCCCTGGTTCCGGGAGGCACCGCCCTCTCCTCGGTGCCTCTTGCCTCACTGGCTGATTAGGAGCTCTGGGGGGGCAGTGCTTAAGTGCTTCCTTGGCTGCTAGCCGAAGGGTCAGCTGGTTAAGCCTGCCAGCTGCTCTGCAAGAGAAATATGTGCCAGTGTGCTTCCGTAAAGATTTGCAGCCTTTGAAACCCTGTGGTGAGGTTTTCCTCTATCCTAGGGTTGTGTGAGTCTGAATCGACTAATGGCAGGGGGTGTTGGTGGCTTTTCTTTTCACTGGCTGATATTTTTCTTTCTCATTTCTTCTTTCTGTCTACATTTACAAAATCGATGTAGAATTCTAAAGTCCAAAAAATGTCTAAAATACAAGTTTTTCCATGACTTACTTGGCAGCAAAACCATGCTTGACCTGATCTCATTTGATGGTGAAACCTGCCCTGAAGTAGCATGAGGCTGTTGACGGTCTTTATCTGACTTAGTGTGAATATTCATACTTTTGTATAGAAATATTTCTTCCTTAGATCTTTCTGAGAATATTATGTAATATACCTTATTATTTTTCTAAAATCTAACCTATATTGAACCCTGAAACATACTTTGACCTAAGAAATTTTGGATAATGAATTATTGACTCATTCACTCAATCTCTTGGTGACCCTCTCTCATTTTTATTCCATCTTTAGGCTAATAACCCCTGCATTTTTCTTTCTGGCCCAGTTCTCCCTGACTTGGACTCCTGTACCTGGCTGCCTATCCAGCCTTGCCACTTGGATGTCCGCTGGGTATCTGGAAGAACATGTTTTGATCCCATCCTTCCCCTCTGTCTCCCTCATCTCAGTTAATGGCCGATTTCTCCTTCAGTTACTTAAGCCATATACAGTCAGTCCCTGGGTTATGAATGGCATCCATTCCTGAGTGTGTCTTTAAGAATTTGTAGGTAAGTCAAAACAGGAGCGTATGATTCTTATTCAGCCTTCCTTTAGTACAAGAAAAGGCTGGAAGCCTTTTCAATGATTTAAAAGCTGCACATGCAGCAGGTGAAGGTGATTTTGGTGAATTTATTGCAAGTAGGGGTTGGTTCAGTCATTTGAAACTCAAAAAACAAAAAAACCCCAAAAACCCAAACTCATGCCATCAAGTTGGTTCTGGCTCATAGAGACCCCCCATTGGGTTTCTGAGGCTATAACTCTTTACGGAGGTACACCGCCCCGTTGTCTTCCCCGGAGCCGCTGGTAGGTTTGAACCTCTGACCTTCTGGTTAGCAGCCAAATGCCTTATCAGTACACCAGCAGAACTCATTTGAAAGTGAGGGCAAATTCACATAACACTAAAGGGCAGGTAGGAGTTGTTGGAAAGTTAGATGTCCTCACCCAGGGACTGCTTGCACCTGAGGGTGTAGTCTTTGACTCTCTTTAATGATCCATATCCAAATTGGCAGCAAATCCTATTGGCTTCACCTTCAAAGTAAATCACAATCAGGCTACTTTTCACCACTACTTCTGCCAATACCTTGATCTACATTTTCTTGGCTGCTCTTAGTCATTTCCAACTGGTCTGTCTACTTCTGAGCTTGCCCTCAAAGTCTGTTTTCAGCACAGTGGTCCTTTCACAGCATGGGCCAAATCACGGTACTGCTCTCCTCAAAACCGTATAGTGACTTCCTATCATACTCAGAATAAGGACTCCTGTTGTTGTTAAATAAAATACAGAGCCCTACATGATTGGGCCTTCCCACTGCTCTCACCCTGTTCTTGCTCCTTGATCACGTTCCTGCAGCCACACCTCCCTCCGGGCTGTTCTGCTTCCCCCCCGCACACATGCATTACCTTCAGGTCTAGCTCCAATGCTGCCTTACTGTGAGGCCTTTCCCATCACTGTGTTTCGGATCGTACGTTGCCCATCACTGTTTAACCCCTTTCCTGCTTTGTTTTCACCTTAGCCCTTACCACTGTCCGACATACTGTGTGTTCTACATATTTATCTTCCAGTAGCTTATAAGCTCTGCAACTGTTTACTCAAAGAAGCTTCTCAGTTCCTAAAACATCGACTGATGCCTGGTGGGTGCTTAGTGACTCTTTGTCAAATGAAGAAATAAGCAGCTTGTCTTATCCAACAAACATTTATTGAGTATACTAAACCATATAGAAGACACTATGATGAGTACTGAACCTAAAACATAAATAAGACAATGTCTCTGCTTTCAGGGGATCAACCATTTAATGAATACTTCAGTGAGACAGATATAACAGTAGAGTACCAGTTCAATGTGTGATAAACCAAACCAAACCCACTGCCATCAAGTTGATTCTGACTTACAGCAACTTCCGTTGGGTTTCCAAGGCTATAAATCTTTACAGAAGTAGATTGCCTCATTTTCCTCTCATGGAGCAGCTGGTGGGTTTGAACCACTGACCTGGTTAGCAGCCAAATGCCTTACCCATTGCACCACCAGAGCTCCTAAAATATTTCTGTTGTTGTTGTTATGTGCCATCGAGTCAGCCCTGACTCATAGCAACCCCTCCTTGGGTTTCCGAGGCAGTATCACTACGGAAGTGGATTGCCCAACCTTTCTTCTGAGGAGTGGCTGGTGGGTTTGAACTGCCAGCCTTCTGGTTAGCAGTCAAGTGCCTTAGGTACTACGTCACCAGAGCTTCTTTGATGTGTGATGGATGTTATAAATAAATGTATCCTTTGCACCTGTTTGTGGTTTAAATTGGGGACGGAATCAGCTACTTAGGGAAGTGCGGGGCATGTGAACATGTCTTGAAGAAAGATTTAATTCACAGAGTCAAAAAGAGGTGAAGGAGCAGTTATGGTAAGAAAGACCACATATACAACACATATACAAGGGTGGAAAGGAAAACGTTTTATGCCTGAAGAGTAGAGAGTGCTTGTGTGTTGTTGGACTGAAGGAGCGGGAAAGTAGGTTTTAGATCAAACTGTGAAGAGCCTTGTGATCGTTTTAAAGAAGGTGAACTCTCCTTTGGGTGTTGATGGGCTCCCAAACGTTTTGAAGCAGAGGGGGAGGCTGTGGTTAGAAATATTTAGACATACTTGTGCACTGTATGGTGTTCTGGAGGTAGAGAGATCAGTGAGGTGGTGCACTAGCTCGATCCAAAGATGACAGGATCCTGAATGAAGACACTGGTGGAGAGAATGATGGGGGAAGGAACAAGGTATGAAGCAGTAGTATTGAGAGGGCTTGGGAACAAAGCAGGTATGGAACAAGGAGAGGAGGCACCTGGGTGGCTGTTGGTATAGTGATGTGCAGGAGGAGAAGCAGACGTGGAAAGGATGGTGGGTGGCCTTGATTTTTGGACATGTTTAGCTTGAGGTGCCTGCGATACATCAGGTGGAAAAGTCTGGCCATCATTTAGAAGAGTGACTCCATCTTAGGTGAAGAGAGAGTATTTGTGAGTTAGCTTGCACTTGGATTTGAAGGCTTGGAAGTGGAAAAGGGTGCTTGTGGTGACCTTGGGAGATGAAGAGAAGAGGGCCAGGGAGAGAGACGCCTTGAGAAGCGTCACCATTGAAGAAGCAGGCAGAGGATGGAGAGCCTGGGGTGGAGATTCATGAGGTGGGCCTGGAAGGTAGGGGAGCTGGTCTCTGTGCGGAGGAAACACTCACCTGCTTGTTTTTCTCTTCCTCAGGAGAAGATTCGGTGTCCGACCTCCCTGTCCATCGTTAAAGACGAAAGCCTCACTGAGAACCAGGAGGAAGATGCCAGTGTCTTCGACCCCCCCATCGATCTGTCTTCTGATGAAGAGTATTACGTTGAGGAGAGCAGATCGGCTAGGCTTAGAAAGTCAGGCAAGGAGCGCATCGACAATATCAGGAAGGCATTTTCCAGAGAAAACATGCAGAAGACACGGCAGAACCTGGACAAGAAGGTGAACAGAATTAGAACCAGAATCGTGACCCCTGAGAGGAGAGAGAGGCTCCGACAATCCGGGGAGAGGCTCCGGCAGTCCGGGGAGAGGCTGAGGCAGTCCGGGGAGAGGTTTAAGAAATCCCTCTCGACTGCTGCTCCCTCGACAGCAGCTTTTAAGATGCGCGGCCTCAGGAAAGCTAAAGACCCCAGTGTGGCTGAGGGCCAGGAGGGCATCAAGGAGCTGGGCGTGGACATCATCGCCAGGAGCGAGTCTCTGCGCCCCATTGGTGAGCTGTACCCCGAAGAGCTGCCGGAAGCGGAATGTGGCGAGGCCAGGGCGGTGTACCCTGCCCAGGAAGGAGAGGAAATCCTGACCGCTGAGCCTTTAAAGGTTACTTTTAAACCTCAGGTGAAAGTGGGTGAGGACGAGTCTCTCCTGTTAGATTTAAAGCAGACAGCGTAACAAGGAAGGAAGTCTACTGCGAATATCA